CACTGAAGGCCTATATTTTTTTAAAAAGTTCACTTATTAAACAAAATGTTTTGATCCCTGCAATATTCCCAGCATTATGGTAGGCATAAATTAGGTTTCTAAAAATGAAAGATACATTACCAACCTGCCTTCAGTTTAACTGGATCCTTTTCTAGATCTCACCTTGGACTTCTCTAAGTTTCCATTTCCTCATCTGTGAAATATGATTGGATCATGGCTCGTTTATAATGTTTCCTTCACAGCTCTAAGATTTTTTGGTTTAAAGTGAATAAATAGTATTACCTTCTCTGCCCTTTTAAGCTTGAAGCTATTTTTTAAAAAATTCTCAAACTATCTTACAGTAGATGTTATTGCTGCTTTATACTAAGAAAGTAAGTTTTACAGAGAATATTTTATCATTAAGTAAATACTAAATTTATCAGAATTATACATAATCTGTTAAAATAGTTACCTCTCTAATGGTGTGACATAATTCATATTGCTTTAGGGGAAGGAGTTATTTCAAATAATTGTTCTAGAAGTCATTATCCTTCCCCCACCCCCGTTTAGTCCACCAGCAAGTCCTGTAAACTGTGCTCTGAAAACATATCCAAATCCATTATTTCCCTTTCGTTACCACCACTGCAATCCAAGCCACTGTTTACTGCCCGTCTGCAGCAGCCTTCTCATTAGTCTCTGCTGCTACTAGGGCTCCCCAACAACCCTTCCACTGCAGACTGACCTTTTCAAAACTTGTCTGTTAAAAACACTGCAGTCTCTTCTTGTTTCAGTTAGAAAGAAACCCAAGTTGATTAACCCTGCTTTATTGAAGCTGTGTGTGACCTGGCCTCTGCCCACTTTTCTATTTCTCATGTGTTACATATATTCCCCTTCCCATTGTGCTCTATCCCTGTGCTATCCAGCAGGCTGGCCACTAGCTTTAGGAAGTACTGAGCCCTTGAAATGTGGCTAGTCCAAATGGAGAGGTGTTGTGAGTGTAAAACACACCTTGAATTTCAAAGACTTAGTATGAAAATTTATGTAAAGTATCTCAATAATTTTTATCTTATGTGTTTATAATAGTATGTTGGATATTTTGGGTTAAATAAAATGTTAAAATTAAGTTTACCTTTTTTTTTTTTTAAATCTTGTTCAATGAAACTACTAGAAAATTAAAAATGGCATTTGCATGGCTCCCATTTCTATTAGAAAGTACTACTCTGGCCACATAGGCCTTTCTCTTTCCCATGCTCATTTTCCATTGCTGTTCCCTCTGCCCGGATTGTCCTGTTGCTGTTTGCAGGACTGGCTCCTTTTCATTAAGGTCTCCATTTAAATGCTGCCCCATACTTTCCTTTGATCAAGCACTTTAGACCAGTTTAACCACCAATTCTCCATCAAGCTTTCCTGTTTTACTGCATAGGGCTTGCCACTGTCTGAATATTGTGTACTTCCTTGTTTCTTTATTACGTAGCTCCCCACTCCAACCCCTGTAAAACAGAAGCTTCAAAAGAGTAGAAACTTTGTCTTGTAAGGTACTTTATCTTCAGAACTATACATGTTGAGTGAAGGAAATGAAAAGTGTGCTATATGGTAACTGATACTAGCAGTAGGTATGTTAAAAGCTCGTGGGTCATATTCACTCTCATTTCTAAGTAAGTAGTGCAGTCTAGCTGCAGGGTAATATCAGAAATCTAGGTTCCTTTATGAGGAGCCAAGTTGTCAGAACCTTTGTGATTATTTTTATTTTATCTTATTTATAATTGAGAATATTTCTTGGTACCTCTTGGATATTTTTGCCTTTTAGAATTTTGAGATTTTGACTTATCAAATAGTATAGTGAAAAAAAAATTGGGCTTTACTACAGAAAAGCCCAATTTTAGAAAAGGCTACAGAGTTATAAACAGGATAACAAAATATCCAGGTTTTCTAATGATAATCTGTGGTTATACCTTTTGCCCAGAAACACTTGGTAATTGTACTCTTTCAACTCTTAATAAAGTAGTACATGTGGTCACTCTGCTTATAAAGATAATCCAAGCACACTCGGCCCCGTGGCTCATGCCCATAATCCTAGCTGTCTGGGAGACGAAGGTGGGAGGATCCCTTGAGGTCAGGAGTTCTGAGACCAGCTTGAGCCAGATGGAGAGCCCGTCTCTAATAAAAATAGGAAAACTAGCCAGGTGTTGTGGTGGGTGCCTATAGTCCCACCTATTCAGGTGACAGGGGCAGAAGGATCCCTTGAGCCTTGTGGTTTGAGGTTGCAGTGAGATGATGATGTCACTGCACTTGAGCCAGAGGACAGATCAGAGACTGTCTCAAAAAAAAAAAAAAAAAAAGCTTTCCTGCCACCTTCCCACAGAAAACTGCTCCATGCGGGGCACTCCTCTCCCCTCCCAAGGTGAATCTGTTGCCACATTGACACAGGCAAAGCCCCATGCGGCCTGCAATGGTGCCACGTGGACGAAGGAGAAATGGGTCCCATGAGGCCAGTGTGGCTTGCAAGTCTAGCCAGCAGCCTTCTGCCAGCTTGGGAGGAGGACCATGGATGGCAGCATGGAGCAAGAGGGACAGCTTAAGTAATACCAAACAATTCATGGCCGACAGCAGGATGGGCTGGTGTATGTCAACCCAGCACCCCAGTTCCAGAGCCTCATGTGGTGGCCAGTGTGGTGCTGGCCATCCTGTACAGCAGGAGGAATGAGCCTGCGCAGCAGCCACTGGACCCCAACAGCCTGCAACTGGGTGCACCACACTCCTGGCCCAATACCGCCCTGCTCTCAGAGGGCCGGCTGTGCTTGTGGGTGATGGCGTGGCCTCTGACTACTACAAGATGATGTTATCAAGGACCTTTCCACCAAAGACAGCTTCAAGTCTCCTATAGGAAGTTCACCGACCTCTCAGCAGAGAGGTCAAAATCCACACTATGTCCTAGGAGGACGGAGGACAAGTCCCAGGAGCTGGAGGTGCAGCTGACCTGGACTCTGGACCCTCTCCTCCAGAAGAGCTTCTTCTCTAGGATCCACTGATAAGTCAAATTTAAATGAAGATAAACTTTGGAAAGCATTATGATAATATGTACTGATTTCTTTTTTAAAAAAGTATATGATCTGAAAGATTTTTAAGCGGATCTCACAGCCGAACACCAGTTTTACATCCTTAGACTGCAGAATGTCACTGTTTACACAGCCAGACAACCGAGTTTTCATGAATACTTTAGTGGAGTTAATTGATGGCTTATTTGTATTTTACAGTTTTTATCACCATACGTAGTGATAGATTTAGACAAATACAATTTTGTGTGCTGGTCCTGTCGTCTTTGTCACTGTGTGGAGGTATTACAATTGTTATGGTGCTGTCAGACTTACCCGGTTTTAATTTTAAGCACTGATTTACTTAGCACTTTCTTCCTGGAGAAATAAAATTTGTCTAAGGTTTTTCACACACACACACACACACACACAAAATGTTATTGGAAATCACCATTTTACATCGATTAGCCATATACTTTGATTGATCGTTCATTCTGCCTACACTGTCCAAGATCTAGCCTTCTTCTTAGAGCCAGGTTAAAGTTAGTGTCTTCCGAGAAGGCTTTTCTGTACTTGCAGTTGAAATGAATGTTTTTCTCTATACTTTCATGATGCAACTGCCTTCTCAGTAGCCTGAGACTGTTGGGAGTCAGAACTGTCCTCTCATCAGCATGGTGTTCCTCACGGTGCCTCATGTATGCAGAGCATTTAATAGATGTTAGAAAAGTTGATGAAAAGCACCTGGGGGATAGACAAGCTATTTCTTCTGAAATGTCTATTCTTCCAGTCAGTTGCTTGCAAAAAAGGATTTGTGTAAGTAGTAACTCCACTGCCTGGACGATAGTAATCAAAGTTTAAAAGTCTGAGGGAAAGAAAAAATGAATAACTGTTGCCTTGTTTCTCTTCCTAATGAATTTATATTCCTAAATGCAATGGAAGGAAGTATGGAGGGGTTAGATGGGATTCAATGAATCCCTAAAGTTTTATTTTAACATTTTTAGCTTATAATGATTGTTAAGTATAGTTCAGTAAACTTATCTTCATCTGATCAATTGTCCCATATATAAATAATACGTATATTTTTTTCCTCTTGGATAGATTTAGTGAGTTGATTCTCTATAAAACATATCTCCCTCCCAGACCACTATGGATTATTTCTCCAGGTTTATGCTATTAATCTACTCTAAATAGACATATATAATTTACAATTATTTTTAACTTTTTAATTTTGAAATACTTTTAAATCTGTGGAGATATTTTAAGGGAAGTACCAGAACTTCCACATACCCCTCACCCAGGGGGTAATTACCAGTTGGTAATATTTGGCCACATTTGTCTTTTCACTTCCGTTCTCTGTAAATGCGCATAATTAAAAAAAACAATCTCTAAAACATTTGGGAATTAGTAGCAGATATTTTACCCCTTTGCCCTAAATACTCCAGCATGTATTTCCTAAGGACATCTCTTTTATAACTACAAGTATAATTAACTAAATTTAGGAAATTTAGTATTGATAAAGTACTATTATCTATTATCAGTCCATATTCAAAATCTGCCAACTTTCCCAGTGTGAGCAGGTATGTTGTAAGGAAGGTAATTGGAATGTAACTTCATTTCTTAGGAATAGTGTAAGTTTGATCATATGCCTTTTCAATTCCCTTATTAAAAATAAGATGAATCCTTGGCCATTGTAAGGATTTCCTTTTTAAATTCCCTCCTCTTTAAACTCTGAATTATTTGCTGTAGTGTCTGTGTGAATTGGTGGGGAAAGATGGGATGAAGCTGAGCTGGGAAACATTCTAAGTATGAAGGTGAATCAGTGCTCTTCATATGGAACAGATTTGGCTTCAGAACTTCAGACTGATAAGTCATGTAACAACTCTGGGTTTCTATATCTCCAGCAAAAGATGCCACAGATATTGGACAATAAAAGTAAAATTTGTTGTTGGCTGTATTTAGCTCAACTTTGGTCTTGCTGTTTTTTCCTAGCCCATGACTGAAGAGTTGCTCAAACAACAGAAGTTGAATTCAAACGAGACCACTATAACTCAACAGTCTGTATCTGATTCCCACTTGGCAGAACTGCAGGAGAAGGTCCAGCAAACAGAAGCCAGCAGCAAGGTACGATCAGTATTGTGCCTTGGGAGATGACAGGGTTTTCCCGACTGACTCTCGTCTGAGTCAGTTAACCTGAGCAGGACATGGAAGGTGAATGCTGTGCACTGCCGGTACTCTAGGGAATAATTCATTCAAAAGTATAGTTCTTCCCTTTATTTCTCATCCGGATTTTAGCTTACTCTGCACAGATCATAATTTCTAGTGCTTTTCAGATATATGATTAAAACGTGCATATAATCTTTAAAAGGAACCGAGATAGGAGATTTGTTTTTGATTTTAGCCTCACTTGTTACCCCTCGATTGACCAGGGGTTTTAGTGTCTGTTTAGATGAAAGTCACCACACTTCGTGATGTTGAACTTCTGGCCTCATGTCCCCTTGTAATTTCCTGTCCCCTTCTAGATAGGAGAAACTCTTTGGTATTTGTGTAAGGAATGTGCAGCTGGCCCACGTGGATAGGTGCCTAGTGTAGCTGCTCTCCCAGAGAAGGCACAGTGCAGGAGAATCGGGGCAGTTGAGTACTGAGGAAGTTGAAATACTGAGGAAGTATTTCATTTTTATGGTTCGTTTGTCTTACTGATTTACCTACGACTTTAATGGTTACTGTATGTGGGGAAAAATAACAAGATAATTATTTCCTAAGAAATCTTTACCCTAGATTCGGAGAAAGATTTTATGGTTGCATTTGAGGTTAAAATTGCATTTTATGGTTGCATTGGCCTCAAAAACTGCTTCTTTGCTGAATTCAGATTCTTCAAGAGAAACTTAATGAAGTGAGCTGTGAACTGAGGTTTGCTCAGGAGTCATCTCAGAAGCAAGACGGTATAATCCAGAGCATCAAGGAAACTCTAAAAAGCAGGGAAAGTGAGGTAAAATATTTTGCAGTCTTGGGAGGAAATAATTGGTCCTGTCAATGAAGACAAGTATTTTATGTTTTATAAAAATGGATATTGTCAGACTAACAGATCTTAGCCTAGAGCAAATGTAGCTTAACCTAAATTGGTATTTTAGAATAGTCCTGTTACAAAAATCTGTACAAGTGAGATAATGGAATTTGTATTTAGTTGTTAGCACGTTTGTTATTCCCTTTTGTTTTCAGATCAAGGAGTTGTACCAGGTGATTGAAGGGCAAAATGACACAATGGCTAAGCTCCAAGAAATACTGCACCAAAGCCAGCTCGGACAACTTCGTGTACGTGGGGGCCACACAAAGGAGGGGAGAGTCCGGTGGGAGACGTGCCATTCTCGGTTATGGTCTGGACTTGTCTTCTCGCGTGCATGTTCTTGCCCTCCTTGTTATGATTTCTACTCTCTTTTCAGAGCTCAGAAGGTTCTTCTCCAGCTCAGCAGCAGGTAGCTGTGCTTGATCTTCAGAGTGCTTTATTCTGCAGCCAGCTAGAGATACAGAAGCTCCAGAGTGGGGTACGACAGAAAGAACGCCAGCTGGCTGATGCCAAACGATGTGTGCAATTTGTAGAGGCTGCAGCACATGAGACAGAACAGCTGAAAGAGGCTTCTTGGAAGCATAACCAGGTAATTCATTAACCATTCTGTAGCCCTAAATGCTGACTTTGCCCTGGTGATCACTTTTTAGCAGGACAGTTTGTATTGAACCCTTGAGTCATTTGTTCAGTCATTGTAGTTCTATGATCTCACATTCTGTGGTTTCAGTTACCTGTGGTCAACTGTGCTTGCAAAATGTGAAGATATTTTGAGAAAGAGACCACAGTTCCATAAGTCTTTTTATAGAATATTGTTATAATACTTCTCTTTTATTATTAGGCATCATTGCTAATCTATTACTGTGCCTAATTTATAAATTAAACTTTATCATAAGTATGTGTATAGGAAAAAACATAGCATTATATAGGTTCAGTCCTATCCCAGGTTTCAGACATCCACTGGGGGTCTTGGAACATTCCTTCTGCGGATGAGGGAGACCTATTATATTATTGTGTTCTGGAAGTATAGGGTGAATTACACAGATTTGTTACTCTTTTAAGTTACTTATAATTTAGTATGAAAGAGTCACAGAAACCAAATTTCATTGTGGTCAACACTGAGGGGGATGTATGCTTGGGGTCCTACAGGAATAACTAGGAGGGGCTGAGGAAGGGAGTCAGGGAAAGCTTCTTGAAGGAGGAGATATGTAATGTTACTCTTGAACAATGAATAAGTGTCAGCCAGAGAAAAGTGGGGAAGAACAACAAAGATCAGGTAAAAGACATGGTCCACGTAATTAGCCATGAATTTTTTTAAAAAGCAAAATACATAATTCTCAAGTGGTCCATTTATCTTGTTAGCTTAGAGCAAGATTTAAAAGACCTTTTATGTGGTCTCTTTTTCTAAGGCTGTTTAACAGTCAGATTTGAAATGTAAGTTTTGAATGTTCTCCCTGGTTTAATAGTTTAGAGATTAAATATTGACTTAACTTTTTTTTTTAAATATTAAAACTTCATATATCTTAGCAGGGATGGAGGTGGGAATAATTCTTAACTTTTTGTTATTTATCTAAAGGAAACATTTTCCTAAGTTTTGTGTAGTTGATGAAAATATATGTTTTTTAGGACTGTCTAAAGTAACATGGTTTAAAGATTACTTTTTTCATTATTAGAATAATGTTACATATGGCAAATTAAGAAAGATGAATGATAGAGCATGAGTTCTTTAGAAAAGAGAATGACAGAAGTAGTTTATCTCTGAGCTTATTTTAAAGTAAAAGAGTTAGGTTTACAGTGGGAAGAGTCCCACTTAGTAGTTACGTAGATCTTCTATAAACCAAAAAATAAGTATTGAACTATAATATCAAATTTACTTCTTACCCCTATCTATAATTTTCATAATTTTCCACTTCCTATTGGATGCATGTATAATTTGTACAGCAATTTTTAAAATGGCACTTTTAGCTACTTTATACAGAGTGTCCATAAAGTTTGTGTGCAATTTTAAACAGACACGGACTTTATGGCCACTCTGTGTTTCCTTTTTATGCCATGAATCTAAAGAACATGTGAAAATTTTAGATTTGCTTTAAAAAGGTCATGTGTTTAATTTAGGAATTGCGCAAAGCCTTGCAGCAGCTACAAGAAGAATTGCAGTATAAGAGTCAACAGCTTCGTACCCTGGAGGCTGAAAAACAGAATGAGCTGAGAACTCAGGAACAAAACATTCAGCACCTAAAGCACAGTCTGAGTCACAAGGAGCAGCTGCTTCAGGTGAGTTTACATAGTTTCAGCACAAACTGGACCTACAGAGTCCTGAAATTTGTTCTTACAATCTCAAGATAATAGGCCACCTGTGTTCAGTACCTGCTGCATGTGGAATGCCGATACGTAGGAATCAGTAGGATATAAAAAATTAGAAAACATAATTTGTGATTTAAGGTACTAACCAACAAGTGTAAGAAATAATGTACAGACCTGAAAGATTTAAGCAGTAAATATTCAGGAAATAGTTATTAAGCACCTCTGTGAGTCAGACACTACGCTAGGCATTGAGAAGACAGAGATTTGCCCTCTGCTCTCAGATGATTATGTGAAGACAATCTGTCTGGAAACTTCTGCAGAGTAATTTAGATGATAGGAGGAAAGTTTTAGAGAAAAGTAGGGCACTAAGAGTGATCCGTTCTACTACCTACTCTAAGCACTTACATTTCACAGAACATTCAATTCTTTTCATAATGTATATATTGTTCATGGATTTTTTTTCTTTGACAGATATACCCTTACCATTTCTTTACTTGAGAAATCCACCTAGTTCTTTTAAGATAGAGTGCAAGTGTTACCCTCTTTGTGGGTCTATGCTGATATCTGTACTGACATCTTCAGGCAGAGTCAGGCGGTGCACCCTGCGTTCCCTCGTAGCAGGGGTATGCCGCGGAACGGTTAACAGTTCTGTGTGTTGTGTATGTTGCAGAATAGTTGACAGTGTACATGTCTGTTGTCTCCACTACACTCATTCCTTTTGAGGAGAACTATCACATTGTTTTTAATCCTAAATAAATTATTTGGCAAAGGGTAGGAATTCAGTTAACGTTGGCTAAATGAATAAAGGAAAATATTTTTTGGTCTTAGGAACTTCGGGAGCTCCTCCAGTATCGAGGGAACTCAGACAAAACCCTTGAAGCAAATGAGATGCTGCTTGAGAAACTTCGGCAGCGAATACAGGATAGAGCTATTGCTCTGGAGGTATGTCCTGATTTTGCTCACAGTACTGTGGATCATTCTGTCTACGTAGCTATTATAGAAATTCATGTCTGCTTAATTGGATGCTTTCGGGATTTGGTTTTCCATTTCTTCATATTTTGAATCTTTTTGAATAAGGGTGGTTAGGATAATGAATCTTATGGAGTTTTAAGATTTGTACCTTTTCCTTGCAGCGGGCTATAGATGAAAAGTTCTCTGCTCTAGAAGAAAAAGAAAGAGAAGTGCGACAGCTGCATCTGGCTGTGAGAGAGCGAGACCATGACTTAGAGAGATTGCGTGGTGTCCTCTCTGCCAATGAAGCTACCATGCAGGTAAAAGCGGAATCTGCCACTGGCGTGGTGTTTCTCTCCTGCTTGTATTCCAAGCCTGAAGCACGAGCCCCTTCCATTATTTCTGAAAACCAGAGTACTTGTAAGAGGGAACAAAACAAAGATGGAAATAGCAGTCGCTAATTCCATTGTTTTATATTAGAAAGTAAGAAGTTTTAGCACTTCTGCTTTGTTTTATACTACGAACTTTGTGCAGGGAAACACTAAACATTGATTTATATTTACATATTTCTAATATATTTCTAATCATAATCATAATTTATTTCTAATCCTTGTTCTTACATACATATCAATACACACATTTTTACATAAGCATTATCAGGGTGCTTATGTAATTACTATATAGTGTTTTTCATGTTAATGTTATATACATGTCCATGTATTACCATAATTAGAACACTTGTTTATTAACGTGTACTATAGGCCTTTTTTGCATATTATTTTAGAACTCATAGGTCTAACCATCTACCACTTTTTAAAGAAGTCCTTCACTTTCTATTATATATACTTCCTCCAGAATACTTCTTTACTATATTTACCTCCCCACAAACTAGATAAGCATTTCTAAAAACAAAAAACAGGTTAGTATTAGAATTGTTAGATTGGGTAATAAGTTTTCTCTTGCAAAAAAGTTGATAGAAGATGATTTAAGAGATAATGTAGAGGTGGCTCTAATTTCTTGTTTAGCCTGAGGAGTATGGAATGACCCTTAGACTTTTGGTTGCTCTCTCTGTGTCTGTAGAGCATGGAGAGTCTCCTGAGGGCCAAAGGCCTGCAAGTGGATCAGTTAACTACTACCTGTCAAAACCTCCAGTGGCTGAAAGAAGAAATGGAAACCAAGTTTAGCCATTGGCAGAAGCAACAAGAGAGTATCATTCAGCAGTTACAGACGTCTCTGCATGACAGGAACAAAGAAGTGGAGGCAAGACTTCAGTTAAAAACAGTCGATTTAGTGGTTATGGAATCTCAGCCTTGGAGTAGTACCCTTGCGTTCTGGGAGGCCAGTGACCCAAGTCTAATTCTGTTCTGTGTCTGGGCAAATCATTGACCTTCACTGAGACTTTTTCTTTGCACCTGTGAAATTAAGGTTGCAGTTATCTTTCTCAAGTCATGTGAGGATTAATGAGATCTAAAAAATACATCATAATATGATAGCTAACCTTTATTAGTCATAGGGTTCATGCTGAGTCAGATACTGTTTTTAGAATTTAGTGGATATTAACTCATTGACTCCTCATAAATCTGTGAGGGACACACTATTATCCCTGTTTTACAGATAAGAAAACAGACTCTGAAGTTAAGTAACTCATGCACAGTAACACAGCTAGTAAGTAGCAGATCTGGTAGTCAGCCTGGGCAGTATGGCCATGTTTTCACTCACCAGGTACTATCTCTCAGTATAGAAGCAGAAACTGTCACTGTGCTAAGGAGAACAGTGTTCATTATTCCTTTTCAGCTTATCATTTTGTGCTCCGTCAGTGAAGTTACAGTGGGGAGAAAATAAATGAAATAAATCAACTAAGGGTCCATTTGTTCTCTCCCTAGAATTAATTATTATGTTTCCTGAGCAAATAGGTAACAAACTTTCTTCAGTAAACAGTATGTAAATTATCACTATAGGTACTTTTCTGTCTTCTTAGTATTGATTGCCTGAACAATTTTCAAAGCCTTCTGTGTGCCAGGCCTGTGCTAGACCTGGAAAAACAAAAAAGATCATAAAAATAATTCTTACTCTGAAGAATCTCACAGCCTTTTCTTCTACAGTAGATACTTATTAGCCCTTTGATATGAAGTAGAGGCAATTCTTTTCTCCAGAAATTTATAATGTGTCCCCTGTATTAGGATCTTAGTGCAACCTTGCTCTGCAAACTCGGACCAGGGCAGAGGGAGATCGCGGAGGAGCTATGGCAGCGTCTACAGCAGAAGGAAAGGATGCTGCAGGACCTTCTAAGTGACCGAAACAAACAAGCTGTGGAACAGGAAATGGAGATTAAAGGCCTGCTTCAGTCCATGAGTACCAGGGAGAAGGAAAGCCAAGTAAGGACAAGTGCACAGACCAGAAAAATATCAGTGTATTATAGTCTGCAAATAGGAAGCATCTGAGTCTTATAATGCGCACATATTTATATTATTTTATAGTCAGCTCTATTAGCTTTTTCCTTCAATTTATTAATTAGACCACAGTTTTATATCAATCATCAAAGAAACATTTGAACACTTTGCATTTGGAGAGATGTTTAAACAGTATGTGTATTCACTAACTAAATACATTTTCTTTTTCTTAATGATCTGATCACTTTGAGAGAAAGGAGTATAGGGTTTTGAAGTATTTTGAATTTGATGCTAAATTATCAAGACTTGAGTGATATATTGTATTCTCAGCCAAGATGAGGGAAAACTTACTCTCAACATATTTTCACTTAATTTTTAAAATCTTGAGTTATTTAAGAGGAAAAAATGATTATAGTTTTCAAAAATCATGAATGGGACTAAGTAATCTCATAAGGGACTAAGTAATCTTATGATAATATGGGTATTGATCTCAAAATAATGATGCACAACTTTTGAAAAGTAAATTCTTATTTTTTTCTTTTTCCATGTATCTTTCTCCTCAAGGCTAGAGACTGTTAGTTGACTTGTGCTGCATTTCAGGGCCCAGTAGTTCAGAATATTCTCTCTGGTTAAATTTATTTCTGGAGGAAGCTACATTCTTTTTTCTTGCTGTGTTGCCCAGGCTGGTCTTGAACTCCCAAGCCCAGGCAATCCTCCTGTCTCAGTATCCCATTGAGTTCCAATGAGATGGCTGTTTGAGATAGGATGTGCAGGGAAGCCAAGGTGATAAGGTGACATTTGGCAGGGATCTGAGGGGAACAAACCACGCGAATGTTACAGTGAAGAGCAATCCAGGCCAAAGGAGCGGCTTTCCCAGAGTAACAAAAGACATCTCTTACCCATTTCAAATCAAAATTTTAACACTTTAGTCTAATGGAGTTCTAGCAGAACCCTCAGATTCTCTTATCTATGATGTTATATTCAGTATTTTGCTGTGGACAGGCCCACTTTCCATTTGTGGACCATGTTTCTCCCAGTAAACTGAAAGCAGGGAAACTATTTTTTAGGGTCCCTCTGGGTTTTTATAAATGGTTGACTTTTAAGAAATAATACCAGAACACAAATTTTGTGTTCCTAGAGTATCTTTTTAATGTTATTTGTGATTTCTTTTTACTAGATTGCTACAGAAAAGATGGTACAAGCCTTGATGGAAAGAAATTCAGAATTACAGGCCCTACGCCAATATTTAGGAGGGAGAGACTTCATGACATCCCAAACAGTCACCTCTAACCAACAAGCTGAAGTTGGCTCCATTGGTCCCCTTCTTGGAGAGCAGACTGATCAAGTAAGAACTATAGACTTGTGCCGATAATTATGCCAACTGTATTTCCTTTTTACATTTGAGGTGTAAGAGTAATCATTTCGATATTAATTATATGAGATTGTTCCCAGTCCTGTCATTGTGATCATAGTTCCTGCATCTTCCTAACTCCCCCAACTCTTCCAATTTTTAGGGTTCAATGCAAATACCCTCCAGAGATGGTAGCACTTCACTGACTGCCAAAGAGGACGCCAACATACCCAGGTCCACATTAGGTGAGTAGCAAGTGTTTTTTCATGTAGGCCCCCCCCCCCTTTTTTTAGAGACCCTTAGTAGAGTGCTGTGGCGTCACAGCAACCTCCAGCTCTTGGGCTTAGGCGATTCTCTTGCCTCAGCCTCCTGAGTACCTGGGACTACAGGTGCCTGCCACAACACCTGGCTATTTGTTGTTGCAGTTTGGCTGGGGCTGGGTTCGAACCCACCACCCTCAGTATACAGGGCTAGCGCCCTACTCATTGAGCCACAGGCACCGCCAGAACCTCTTTTTTTCCTCTATATCTCTGAATGTATAGATTTAACTAAGATTCCTTCTCTTCCTACCTTAATGGAAATAATAAGTGGATTCTTTTGAAAGACTGAAAACACGTCTTTTCTAGGAAAACTTGCCCTTATTTTGAATTGAGATTACTGCCCTGAGTTCATAGTTTGGCCCAGGAAAACTGTATTCTGATTCTCCTTTTCAGATAACTTTGTAGGGATTCAGAAATGCAAGAGCTAGTGCTTCCAAACCTGCACAGCAGGACTGTGGGGCTGGCGCATTCTCCTGGGTATCTTTCAAGGCTGGAGCTACTCACTATAACTTAATCTTACCTTCATTAAAGTATTAGCAAGGGTGTAGGTATGCAGCATACCATCGAGTTATTTGCCAAGCTCAGCCCCATCCAATTGGCAGCCTGGATTGTAGGCATCTAATTAGTCTAGAATTCTAAAGATGATTCTCTGCATAGTGGGAGAAGAGCCTCAAATGGATACCTTGGATTGAGGTCTCTGACTTTTACAGAGCAAAAGTTGCTATTTGGGAGTAGCTTCTAGAAAATATTACCTAAGTAGTTCCAGGCAGATGGTGGTGATGATTAATGAAGTGACGGATTATAGTGCTGTGGTAAGAAAAATTCCCACAGGAACTGTATTAAAGGGCCGTGGCATTAGGAAGATTGAGAACCACTGCCTTAGAGCAAGAGCATTCCTCTGCTTGTCTACAGTGTAGTTATTACACTCAGGAAATTTAGCCTTAGTATTAACCTTAGCATCTAACACAGTCCACGCTCAGCGTTCCTGTTGTACCAGTCATGTTCTCTGAATTACTTTGTTTTTTCCCTGTAGGCCTCACGCATTGTGCTTAGTTGTCTTGTCTCTTTAGTCTCCTTTAATCTAGAACAGCTTTCTAGCTTTTTTCTGTCTTCTGTAACTTTGGCATTTTTTAAGAAGCCAGGTTATATTCCTCCTTTTACTGCTAGTCACTTCCTCATGGTTAGATTCAAGTTACACACTATTGGCAGGAATTCTGTATGGGTGACATCTTCCTCAGTGCATGATAATCAGTTTCAGTCATGTTGGCAATGTTAAGTATTCACTGATTTCTCTAATTACAATTTATTTTTTTCTGAGACAGTCTCACTATGTTGCCCTGGGTAGAGTACCATGGTGTCACAGCACACAGAAACCTCTAACTCTTGGACTTAAGCAATCCTTTTGCCTCAGCCTCTCAAGTAGCTGGGACTAGAGGTGCCCACCACAATGCCTGGCTGTTTTTTGTTGTAGTTATCATTGTTGTTTAGCTGGCCCAGACCAGGTTCAAACCTGCCAGCCCCGGCGTATGTGGCCAGCACTCCACAGGCACTAAGCCCTCCAATTCCAATTTAACAGCATCAATTCTTTCCCTCACTTTGTATTTGTATCTCTGTTCTTCCAACATTGACAGGCCTGATTGCATATAAATATATAGTAGAACCTCCTTAGTTGATTACCTCCCAACATTGAACCTTACCTCCTTAAGTTGACCTAATTTTCATAGACCAGACATGTACCACATGTACTCGATGGAAGTTCCTTATGTTGGCTGTCTCTGTATGTTGACCTGTTTGTTAACAGACTTGTGGGTGGTCAACTCATAAAGGTTCTACTGTATTTCAAAATATTTATACATTTGCAGAATACACAGTATGCAATAATAGTTTCAGAATTGCTACTTGAGTATCATCAACAATAAATCTATTAAGTAATGTTTGAGATTTCTTTATAATCCCTTTTGTCCTACTGAGAGTACTGAGTTCAAAGATTATTTGGATTAATTTTTCCATTATCTCCTGGGTACTTATCTATTTGCTCTTTAGATTACTTATGTCAGTATTCAATTTTAGACTTTCTCCACCCTTATTGTCAAAACTAACATATTAAAAATTAGACATTAACATAGTTCAAAATTCAAATAGAAAAATAAAGAAGTCCTATCTACTTCCCCATTCCTTCTTCTGTTTCCACTGATCCCTGAAGGTAACCAGTTTTATTTCTGGGTTATCCTTTCTATATATGTATTTGCAAAAATAAACAAACAAGTCATCTGTGTATGTTTGATGTATATGCATTGTTCTTTCTTTCCCCTTTTGTGATATAAAATGTACTACATTAGATGTATTCTTTTGTACCTATCTTGTTTTACTTAACATTTCATCAAAATCATTCCATGTAAGTTTATAAAGACCATATTCTTTCTTACAGCTATATATAGTACTATTGTGTGAATATATTATGTTTTATTCAGTCTTTTTCTTATGGCATGTAGATTGGTTGTATAGAGGCTCAGTGACCATAGCACAGTGGTTATAGTGTTGGCCACATAACTGAGGGTGGCAGGTTCAAGCTTGGCCCAGGCTAGCTAAGCAACAATAACACTGCAGCAAAAAATAGCTGGGCATCGTGGTGGGCGCCTGTAGTCCCAGCTACTTGGGTGGCTGAGACAAAAGAATTGCTTGAGCCCAAGAGTCTGAGGTTGCTGTGAGCTGTGACACCATGGTACTCTACCAAGGGTGACATAGTGAGACTCTGTCTCAAAAAAAAATAAATAAAAAATAATGCTTCAAAGAGCAACCTGTGTACATATGTGTATATTTATTTATTGTGGAATGTACCCATAGTAAATTCCTAAGAAATGAGGCAGCAGAGATACATTATGTTAAAAGTGATTAAAACTACTACTGTGTGTTCATTTTAGAAGACTTGGACACAGTTGCAGGTCTGGAAAAAGAACTGAGTAATGCCAAAGAAGAACTTGAACTTATGACTAAAAAAGAAAGAGAAAGTCAGGTGAGTTTTCTAGTCAAGTCTAGTTTCTAAGTTTCTATTTTCTTCTTTTACAATGGTTTATATTTAAGAGTATACAGGCAGTCCCTGAGTTACAAACATCAGACTAATGTCCAACTCATGCTTATGAATGGAGGCTGTTACAGTGAGTCCCTGATTTGCAAACATCTGTCTCATATACGACTTGTCTTACAAATGAAAGCTATTACAGGTAATGGGTAATGTACCTGCTCCAGGGTACATACAAATTCAACTTAAGAACAGGCCTCCAGAGCCTTTCTCATTTATAACCTGGGGATTGCCTGTGATCCTTCAAGTATAATATGAGGTATGCCTTTTTTCTTATATTTTTCAAAAATATAAATCATTTTATATATACATTACTTACATAAGATATTCTTGTTTTTATAGTGAGGACCATTACAACTTTTTAAATATTGAAACAACATAGCTTTTTATACCTATTGGTAATTGGAATAAAGTAATTGTAAAGCACTTGTGAAAAAAGGAAGTGCCATGTCATTGCTTCTTAGAATTATGCCATTATATCCATGAAATTAGGTAGAAACATAAACTGGGAAATGTGAGTATAATTTGTCTTTACTGAGTACTCATATGCAGGGCACTTTGCTAAGTACTTAAGTTAGAATGAATGGTATTGGCTCTTGTTTACAAATGATGAAGCTGAAACACTAATTTTTGTTAAATAACTAATAAATGCTAAAGCTAAGATTTAAACTCAAGGTTTTTGTGACTTCACATGCTTTCTAGAGCTGACAATTTTTTCCACTTTGTGCTTTGACTCTTTGTAGTAATAGAGTCAAATTTTCTTAGCAGAGGCCTCTCTCAGCCTTATAGAATCCCTTTCCTCTGTGTTCTCTATACAGCCAGGTGCGTGTCCAGCTGTGACATAAAAGAAACATCAGAGTCACAGCAGAGTCACAAACTAAAACGAAGGACTTCCGTGTTACTGTGGCATCCACATCAGATCTGTCAGCAGCACCGGATTCCTAAATTAAATTTTGCAGCTAGTCTGGCTTCTTTCTTTCTTTCTTTCCTTCCTTCCTTCCTTCTTTCTTTTCTTTCTTTTTTTTTTTCTTTTTTACCTTTTTGCTATAATTAGATCTATAGTATAAAACCTGTGTTCATATTTGTGATGGAATTATTGTGTCTCTTGATATTGCTACCATATTTCTACTTATAAGCAGACTCAATTTCTTTTGAGGCTTTGAGAGTGTGACACTTGAAAAAAATCCTTTAGTTCCTCTCCTCTTTTTTGTTCTCCCTTAGCCATTATCCGATTATTCATTTCACATATGTTAGTTTCCACATGCTGTTCTTGTTTTACTCATATACCAAATCCAGAGTAATGTTTCTTTTCTGTTCTGTCCTGTGTTCAGGATCACAAAATTAAATTGCCCATGCAGGGATATTTTGAGTGAGTGATATTTAGCTATTGCATATTTTTATATATCCTTAATCACCTATCCACCTCTGTGTCCAATGCCCTATGTATTCCTCATCACGTTCCTTCTAATGTTAAGTCTTTACCATACGTATTTTCCCATATTTTTAAACATTCCTTTTACCGTTGTGACGTGGTAGTGGTAGTAGTTCTTACCATTCAGAGATTCCCTGCTACATGCTAGGTACTTTTAAATACATTCTGTCTAATTCTCCCATAGCCCTGAAAAGTAGACATCATTTCCATTTTACAGTGAGGAAACTGAGTCTCAGTTTAAATGCTTTGACAAGGTCGATCTGACTGTAGGCCTTCATCATGTACTATATAATGTTTTCTTCCTCATGTTTTCATTTGTATTTATTGGAACAAATACCTGGATGTATAATGATACAGGTCCCTGAGGAGAGCCAAATAAATAGCACCCTTTTTCATACCCCAAATCTGAACAAATTGAGAAATAAACAAAGTAGTAGTGGATAGTTTGATACTTTATCAACTTTACCACTGATAAACCAAATGGTCCTGTGAGCTAGTGCTCAGAATTAGGTTCACCTACAGTCACTGGCAACACTGTGGCTGTGTGGTACCTACAGGAATGACTTAGAGCCTGCTGTTCCTGAGTCTCCTTCCCTGCATTACATTCTGGACCTACCTCTTATTGGCTCTGTGATTTTGAACTAGTCTTTTGTTTGTTTGTTTGTTTGTGATAGAGTCTCACTTTGTTGCCTTGGTGGAATTGCCGTAGCTTCATAGCTCATAGCAACTTTAAACTCTTGAGCTTAAGCAATTCTCTTGCCTCAGCCTCCCAAGAAGCTGGGACTACAGGCGCCCACCACAATGCCCACAATGCTATTTTTAGAGATGAGGTCTTGCTGTGGCTAAGGCTGGTCTCCAACCTGTGAGCTCAGGCAATCCACCCTCCTTGGCCTCCCAGAGTGCTGGGATTATAGGCGTGAGCCACTGCACTGGGCTTTGAACTAGTTCCTTAATTTCTCCTAGCCCCAGTCAGCTCGGACATAAATTGAGGAGTAGAAGAAGTCGTCTTATCTATAAATTAGAGAGTAGTTATCCCATAGGATTGTTGTGAGGATTCATTCCTTCACTCATTCATCAGATATAGAGGTACCTTATCTAAGCTGGGGCTAGTGCTGGGGATGAGGCAGTGAACAAAATCAATGAGGTTCCTGACTCTTATGTTTTAATTTCTGCTGGGGAGATACAAACAGCAAACAAGTATGTAATCACAGATTATACCAAGTGATGTGAGGGCAACAATAGGAAGTAACGTGGGTGGGGAGCATCTCAGGTGGTCGAGGAAGGCTTCTCCGAGCAGGTGACAAGTAGTCAGGACCTGAGGGTGAGGAGACCACCCCGGGAAAGATATTTCAGACAGAGGGAGTAATAGTCGTAAAGGCCCTGAGTCAGGACAAAGTCTGGTGTTCCTAGACCAGAAAATTCTCATCTACCTAGAGAGTTTGAGTGAGAAGAAAACAGCAGATATTGAAGCGAGAAGGAGTAGGCAGGAGGCCGGTCACCAGGTTTGTTGAAAAGATTGAATGTATACAAAGCATTTAGTGCAGTGCCTGGAACACAGTAAGCACCCAGTAAAGTCAGAAGCTATTACGATTTTTAGTAAACTTTATCATCAAGTATTTCTCATGTTCTGGTGAGGAGGTTTGGGAGTTACGAGACAGAGTGCGGGGCATGCAGTACCAGTGTTTGGTGAGATTTCTTCCTAGGTGGCGGCGTGCTCCTCCATGAGGAGGAGCGGTGTGCAGAGAACCTGTGCAGGGTTTGGTGATCTCTCAGGATGTTGGCAGCCAGTGCTGCCCAGTGCCTAGGACTTTATCCATTCGCTCAGTAAGGGTTGCAAAATGGAGATGTTCCAATTTTGTCACTTTTTTCACATAAAGACTACCCTGCTAATAGTGACCAATTTTAAAAACTATAGTAAATTCATTAACTAAACAAATTGGATGTATTTTATAGTGCTGACTAAAATAGAGGACATCATTAAAACCACTCTTACAGCTTCCCGTGAAAGGTCCTTCAGTACCACACTGCACAGTTTATTGATTTGATTCTGTAGAAACTATTTATGCTCAAGCTTTCTCTCCCATTACTGCCTGATAGTGCTATTTTATGCAGAAGTGTCTGCCTCAGTATTATGGAAACGTGACAAATATTGTTTCTTCTGCCCACTGACTTAAGGATTTCTCCTCTCTACAGATGGAACTTTCTGCTCTACAGTCCATGATGGCTGTTCAAGAAGAAGAGCTGCAGGTGCAGGCTGCCGACATGGAATCCCTGAGCAGGAACATACAGATTAAGGAAGACCTCATAAAGGTACTTCACAGCTCTTTAATGCCACTGTCAGTGTTTGCAGCTCACAATACCTGGAGGGCAGCTTCCAACAGTATTTGGATACATTGAGTCTCTTAGCCCCTGCTTATCCATATCCCACTTGCAAGTATCACAGACTATTTCGAGAGCATTTTTTTCCTTGTTCCTCTGCTGACTAGTATTTTTTTTTTTTTACTATTTTCATATTTACACATATTTTTTGACTTTTAGGACCTGCAAATGCAACTGGTTGATCCCGAAGATATCCCAGCGATGGAACGCCTGACCCAGGAAGTCTTGCTTCTCCGGGAAAAGGTTGCTTCAGTAGAATCCCAGGGTCAAGAAATTTCAGGAAACCGAAGACAGCAGGTAAATTAATGGAATACAAACTGTATTTTTTACTGTACAACAAATGATGGAAAAGCTATCAACCTCAGCTACTTACAAAGGGGTCAGTTGATAACATTTCACAGAGAACATATGCCTAAAGTTTCCCCCTCTGGTCGGTAGCAACCAGAGACCCTTCCTGACATTTGCTGTCCTGAAAAGAGCAACAGTTGTTTTTGGACACACACTGTCAGTTATCCTTCACTTACACACGTAAAGTCTCTTCCCTCTCAACTAAATCTATCTCATGTTCAAATCCTTCCTTCTCAATTAAAAAAGAAAAAGTTTAAACCCCTGCTTTTGCCCCAAATTTCTTTGTAGCTAGTACCTTGTGTCTAACCTTCCTTCAGTCAAACTTTTCCACACTTACTTGCCTGTGCTCCGTGTCTCTGTTACCATCTCTGTCACTACCCCTGGCCTGGCTTTTAGTGCTGTCTTAGACACATCTCTGCAGGTTAGACAGTATGTGTATTATGGCTCATCTCTATAGCACTTACTGTAGCTCACACATATCTATGATTGATAAATGTCTTTTCCTCCCACCCAATAATAAGCTTTCCCCTAGGACCTAGAATAAGGCCTATCATGTGGAAGGTGCCCAGTAGGTATTTACTGAGCAGGGCACTGACTGCTAAGTCCTGTTGTGTCTGTGTCTCTCCCCACTTGTCCTTTCTTTCTCCCCTTTCTCGTAGCCGCTTTCCTATGCTTCTAGTGCTCTCTCTCCTTGTTCTTCTTCTTCTTCTGTGTTTGAATTCTACTTTATAGGATTTTTAAGATAAAAACGATAATGAATGTGACATTGATTTGAAAACTGTAGAAGACTGTGAAAAGGCTCAGCACCTATAGCTCAGCGGTTAGGGTGCCAGCCACATGCACCGGGGCTGGTGGGATCGAACCCGGCCCGGGCCAGCTAAACAACAATGACAATTGCAACAAAAAGATAGTGGGGCGTTGTGACAGGCACCTGTATTCCCAGCTAGCTACCTGGGAGTCTGAGGCAAGAGAATCGCTTAAGTCCAAGAGTCTGAGGTGTCTGTGAGCTGTGACACCATGGCACTCACCTGAGGGCCACATAGTGAGACTGTCTCAAAAATAAAAAACTAAAAAGACTGTGAAAAATTTAAGTAATAAGATAGCAGGCTTTTTTCGTCATGGCACGTGCTAACGCTTTTTCCCCCCTTGTCTCAGGATTAACTGGGGCTTCAGGTCTCACTTTGACATTTGCCTATCGCTTCCTCTCCTCAGTTGCTGCTGATGCTAGAAGGATTGGTGGATGAGCGGAGTCGGCTCAACGAGGCCTTGCAAACAGAGAGACAGCTCTATAGCAGCCTGGTGAAGTTCCACGCCCATCCAGAGAGGTACGAGAGTCACTGTTTTTCCATTTATTCTCGTTTTAAAATTTTTATTACTTTTATTTTTCATTAAGTGCAGGTACTTATGATACTAAAGAGGGTAGAGAAAGGGAGCACAGACAGTTACTGGGCTGCCCACCTGAGTTATGTGAATTGCTCTGAGCCTCAGTCAGGAGTCCTGCCTAGTTTTCATGACTATTGAAAATTTTAAATGAGAAGATAGGTTAGGTGTCTAAAACAATGTCTTATACACAATAAGCACTCAGTGTATATTTCTTTCCTTTTTTCCTGCTCCAAGTCCTTGTTATAAAAGTAAGGCACTAGTATGAATATAAAGGGCACTGATATGCATATATTATCAATATATATCATTGAAGAAAATACATTAATTCTGACGGTTAATATCATCCCAGGGTCACTGATAACTTTCATGATGAATATATTATTAATGTTTAGTTTGGGTCATGTATCTGTGGTTCTCAACTCCCAGGCCACAGACTGTGGGAAAAATTGTCTTCCATGAAACCAATCCCTGCTGCCGATAAGGTCAGGAACTGCTGACATAATATCTCTCTGATTCATTTTATATTTCTTTGTGTTCTTTTCCTCATTTTGCCTTCCCTCCTAGCCCTTTTTACTCTTTCTCAATTTTATTTTTTTACTATTCAGTTTCTAATTTATTGTTGAGTTTTAAAAATGTTTTTTCTTTGTATCTCAGGAGAAGGAAGGCAGACGAAAGGTCTGATAGGGCCCCTTGACTGTGTTACGTTTCAGAGAACCTCTGGATCTTTAGTCCTTTGGAACTGGATTCCTTTTCAGAGCACTGTCAAATTTAGTAACAAATGAGAAAACAAAAGTCTTCAGTAGCAGTTCTGCTTAACTCAGTCTAGCTTCAGTTTGCATTTAGGTATTTTTCTGGGTTTTAGTTTCTCAGAAACCAAAGCTCGTACTCAAATAATGAAATCTCTCTTTTGTGGTCTTATAGGGATGTTAGATAAATCTTCAGAATCATGGTTTTATGTGAGATTGGCCCAGAATCTAGCGTAAAGGGGCAGGCTTCACCAAAAGGAGCACACTTTGATAATCCACCAGCCCTGAACACAAGTGCCGTGACAGAGACTGCATTCACTTATTGTGTCCCAGAGAACAGTTTAGAAAGTTCAAGGCTCAAAGTGGCATTGATGGCTCTTTGGTAGCAAATGTGGACTTAATACATTTGATGGCTAATCCCTTTTCCTTCCATATGGCATGTTTAATCAGCTCTGAGAGAGACCGAACTCTGCAGGTGGAACTGGAAGGGGCCCAAGTGTTACGCAGTCGGCTAGAAGAAGTTCTTGGAAGAAGCCTGGAGCGCTTAAGTAGGCTGGAGACCCTGGCCGCCATTGGAGGTGGGGAACTGGAAAGTGTGCGAGTTCGTCACAAGCATGCCTTCTGAGCCCTGGCGGGTCAGACTACAGCCCGGGATGGAAAACCTTGTTTACACTAACCAGAGAGAGCCATGTCTGACTTTGGCAGAATTAAATGGTGACTTACTAATGGTAGAACTGGTACAAGTAGCATCAACCACCAAATGAAACTCACTTTAGCCTACGTGTACATACCTATCTCAAAATTAAATGGTGGAGGTGACAAAGTGTACTTGCACATTTTAAATCATTCCATTTTAGTTTTTCCACCCTTATTCATCCCTTTCCTGATGAGCCCTTCCTTCTCATTGCCTCATCCCTTCCATGGGCCAATAAAGTTTATTCCTCCCCCGACTTCCACAATCCATTTCATATGTTCCATTTCCCTGCCATAAATGCATGCGTGTGTATTATTTTTGCCATTCAATCAACTTCTCTTCCAGAGTGGTTTTTTAATCAAATAAAAGAATTAAAGTTCCAAGATAAGAGAGAGAGAGAAAGAGATTGAGAGTCTATAGGAATGACTTTGCAAAAGTGGCCTGATCCTTATCAGAAGGTAATCAAAACCAGGAGAGCAGTCTTGTCACAGCAGACTACGAGGATGGGGAATGCCAAGTTGAAGAACAGAGGCAAAGACATTTAAAGTGTACAGTAATATTGTAAACCTTTACCTCTACTGTAGTTTCAGAGTTGACTATTGAATGACAAGTAAAATCAGATTAGGTAAGGACTAAATTCTATTTAAAATGTTTTCTTTATTGGTCCCTTTATATTTCTTTAAGCCAGAACATGACTTCAAGAAAGGTCTTCCAGAGTTAGAACTCTGTATATAAAGAAAAATGCAAATTAGTGTCTTTCTTTATATTCAGTATTTTACCAAATAAGTCAAGCCAGCCAGAGGAGATTATTGCTTCTATACCTCCCTTTAGTGGCTCTGGACAGTGTCCTGTATTTTTCACTATTTAGTGTGTTGCCTTCTTCATATAAAAATAAGAAATGGTTTCAGACTTTGGAGTGCTTGAATAATTTAGAAAGAAACACTACAGATCTATGTTCATAGGTTCTAGTTGTTATCTCAACACTTTCTTGTGGCCCCATGACAGGTATAAGGACAGGGACCCTGGAGATTGTAATACTGTGTCTAAATGTCAAGAGTATGAAAAGTGACCAAGATTTTTCTGGAGCTTTGTGAATTCAACATCATAAATTTTTATTTCTGGTGGCTATAAATTTCCTAGATTAGAAGCTGAGATTTCAGTTACTTTAAACAAAGGACCTGGGGAACCAGGAATTGAGGCTTCCTAACACCATGAATGTGGCTGAATACTCTTTTCTAAAGTAAGTGGGAAATAGTGATTTTTCTTTTTCCTTCCATTTTTTTATATGGCACTTTAATTCTTTCACAGTCATGTGTTAGTATTTTAAATTCCAAGTAAGTGTTTAGAACTTTACCTGTGTCTGTAACAGAAAGCATCAGTCAGTCTGAAGTGGACAGGGAGAAAATATTTACTGGAAAAGCCCTGGAATCTTCTGATTAAGTAGTTTACAAAATGTTGACAGCCATAACCCTTCCGCTTAATGGATATACCATTTTGGTTGTAATGACCTGTAGTGGATAAAGGAATCATTCAAGGAAGGAAGTAAAATGTGTAAGTAGAACCATCCACTTTTTTTAGTCTCCCAGTTTAAAAAGACCCTTTCTTGCACAAAACTTTTAGTTCATTTGCAGAAGTAAATAGGAGGATCATAGATCTGTAGAAATGTCAACCCATCAAAGACAAATCTGTTGTGTCATTGCAACAAGGAATTTAGATAGTATCTTAATTTTACTGATAAACCAAGGAAGTTTTCTAAATCTGCTGTTAAGATTCAACCGTGGGTGATTGTTGGGTTCTAGTGGCTCATAGTGATTATAACAATTTATGGTAATGACCACTCCTGTTTCTGTCAACCTCTAACAAGAGTAGACTGATAGAAGGACAGATTAGGAGTTTGATCTTGATGCTGCATGTGACTAAAATCCTTGCTAACTTTCTGGTCTGGGTAGGTGAAATGAGGCTGGCAAGCAGTGCTCCCTGAAGAAGGCTTGTTGGTCTAACAATTCTGTGTAATAATTTGGCATCTGAGTAGAGAACTTGATTCTGATAAATGTTGTCTAAACCCATATAAAAATGATTCTGTGACTGGGCATATCATCTATATAATCACATTTAGCATCATATATGATTCCATTTTCTCTACAGAAGCACAGATTCTTTCTCTGACTGGATTATTCTACCTTTGTCAGGCATTATAATAGCTTTGGATAAAGTACCATGTGCTGATAGAACATTAAGCTTGAATTTAAAAATCTTAAAGGTGTAACAGTAATTTTTTACTTAGGTCATGCTTAATTGGAAGCATAGAAACTTAAATTGAAAAAAAAACCATATTGAAAGATTTTTTATTTCTCACATATCCTTTTTGAATAATAGGAAACATGCAGAGTGAGTGGTGTAAGAAGTCAAGGTAGATGAAATGTATAGTTTTTAGGACTAGAGACTTGAAGAAACCTCCAAGAGGATGTATTTAATGAGTGGAATGGAAGTCCTATGACTCTTTTCAATTACAGATTTAAACTGTTTCACTTAAATCTGACAATTGTTGGTGCTTAGTATAAATCAACATTTGTTGCATATTCTCTTTTTAGGTATTTAGCCAAGTTCTTTGACAAGCCCTGGCTGGGCAGTTTTAATAAGTCAGCCTTGTGCTTTGAGAGGGCGTGGTCCTCTTCATTGCCCCTCCTCCTTCACGCCTACTTCTCTTCCTTCAGTGGTGGACTGGAGCAATATGTTTACCACTGCTACTTCTTAGAGAAAGAACATTTTTCTTTGTTCATATTGTTAAAAGAATTTTTAATTGCATTTTATGTAGTAAGAGATCTATTATGTATCAAGAAAATCTTAACCTATGTAAGAAATTAGATCCTCGCCACAAGAGATGGTTTTCTTAGAATGTTCTTTACACAGTTGATACATGAGTGAAATCTGTGGCAGCTAGACATGAAAGACATATCATTTTTATGCTTTTTTATGCTCCTAGTTTAGAATCTAGGTTGTGAGAAGTTTTGATCATAGTTGCAAAACATTGGGTTCTCTTTCCTTTGGTCTTCCAGTTGGATCTGGAGTCTTCTGATTAGGGAGAAGAGGAGGAGGTCATGTTCATTGAAATTGTTCCTTTCATTGAGAAATAAAAGTTGACCGACCTACCTAAAGTCACTTTACTCTGGACTCTAAGTCTTAGAACAGTAATTCAGAAAACCTTTGCTTTTCTTATGTTAGCATTAAAAACCTCTAGTTCCCATAGCTAGGGTAAAGTCATTGTTTTCTGGTTTCATGGAGTCACAGAATCTTCACATTTGACATCCCTGAAAAACTCATGTTGTCTCTTCAACTAGGACCTCATGTAGTGTTGTGCAGTCCTACAGCCAGTGGTCTGCAGGAGAAATGACAAACCTGTCCAGTTAGGAAGAAATATAGTAACCTACACACTTAAAGTCTATCTTCGCCTGTAGAAATTGTACTAGAGATAGATTAAATGAAATTAGTTTTCTTTTTCAGATACATCCTATGAGATGCAAGCACATAGAGCAGTGGTTCTATTTTTTTTTTTTTTAGAGACAAAGTTTTTGTCGCCCTCGGTAGAGTGCTTTGGCATCATAGCTCACAGCAACCTTCAGCTCTTAGGAGATTCTTTTGCCTCAGCCTCCTGAGTAGCTGGGACTACAGGCCCCCACCACAACACCCGGCTATTTTTGTTGTTGTTGTTGTTGTTGTTTGGCCGGGGCAGGGGCCAGGTTCGAACCCGCCACCCTGGGTATATGGGGCTGGTGTCCTACTCACAGAGCCACAGGTGCTGCCCCAGAGCAGTGATTCTCAACCTTCCTAATGCCACAACCCTTTAATACAGTTGCGACCCACATGTTAAGAACTGCTGACATAGAGTGTTTTTTCTCATTTCTGTTACGGTTAAAACTCAGAGTTTTTGTTTCCCTTCGGTAGTATAGAACCATCTGTACCATCAAAGGAACAGCTGGGGATGCAGACTTCCTATGGCAACCCAATAATAACAAACAGAAAGAATGAATCAGTAAGATAGCATATTGCACTAAGTTCTGTAGGGTAATGCTTTCTGAATCTTAATGTATTTTAGGTGTGGATTTAAGCTGTTATCTGGCCATTTACAGCAATAGCTTCACTAAAATATTGTATGATTAGAAAATGAGCATGTTGCTTTTAAGTAGTCTGAGTATTGACAGAAGGTAAGTCCTCAACTTCTTTCTGTATAACCATATAGCCAGATGACTTTCCTAATTAAAAAGGTTAGTGTTAAAATTTGCTTCCAACAAAGAATGGGAAATGGAAGGGAAACACAGCACAGTAGGACCAACAGTACTAATTATTCCAGATTAAACTTATGAAGTGATGTAATAGTTATTTTTTGGGACCTTCCCCCTCTTTGTTGTTCAAAGATAAATTCTAGAAGTAAAAATCTTTATTGTACTATTTTCCTCCTGGAAAAGTTGGAAGGATCAAATAGAAAGTTCATCAACATCAGAAAATATTTGATCTAAAATTATGTGAAGAGTAGAAGTGTTAAATACATGAATCAAATTGGCTTCCTCTTCCCTTGAAGAACTTATAATTGTCTAGCATTTGATTGTTGGTTTGCATTTAGTATATAAAGGGAATGCTGCTTTTTGCAATTAGTAAAATCATTGCTCTAAGATAGTGACCTCTCAATCTATAAAAGTTAGGGGCATGTGTATATACAAGTACGTTTTATAAATCATGAATTTCTGTGTCCATGAAGTCTTACTAGTTTGATAATAAAAGCAGTCAAACCTGTTTTTATTACTTAGAAATTTTGTAGGCTGTTGAGAGAAACTGAAGTGATTCATAACTTTATGAAGGTGAAGAGAACTGATGTGTTAAATTATCAGA